TGACCCCAGCATTCATTCCTGCCTGTGGCAGGAGGTCAGGCTAGATGATCTGATCAGGTCCCTCCTGACCCTAGCTACTATGAAACCATGAAACTATGAATTAGCCTGTGGAACTTACTGCCACAAGAGCTTTGCAAGACTAGAAAAAAAAAAAAAGTTTATAATATTCTTCAGTAACTAAAAGTTTTCATAATTTAAAAACATGGAGCTGTGGAAGAAAGAAAAAACTGTTGATGCTGAGGCACAGAAGTAGCCTTATTTTTGAGGGTAAGGAGGAAGCTTGCCTTTGGGAAAATGTGCTCATGAATACCTAATGGAGGATTGTAATGCACCTTTTTGGAAGCATATGTTGGTGTCAGGATATTGTACAAACTGGATTAATGTCCTGATCTGGTACAACAGTTCCCATGCTCTTAATTACCTATGTGAAAGTTAGACCTACAAAGAACTCTTTTCCTTCAATAAGCCACAGTGGTAACAGTATTTGTCTCTTAAAAATGTGTAAGATATTAAAAAGAGTCATTAAAGTGAATTACCTTTCCTGCTTAAGAGCATATTCCAGCATTTTGATTCGTCGCACTAAATCCTTCTTTAGATTTTCTTGTCCTTTCCTTTCTCCCTGCAGGAAGGCAATCTGAGCCTGAAAAAGACAACAGTCTACTTAAACTCAAAACACAGCAAATTGTTCATTAAATGTATTGTTTTTATTAAGATGTGGATGAGATCTTAAGGTCTGTGTTATGGCACTGTATTGTGGAAACAATTTCAAAATTGAATCCTGCTTATGTTTTTTGAAAGCAGCCTGGCTACTACAAACAAAGCAGAAGTTATACCAAGTATATGCTTAAACAGACTAACTCTTTAAACCACAGACTCATTACAGATTCCAAAATAATACATTAGAGTTAAATATATAGTAACTTGGAATAGTGTCTGACGAGACTCATTTGGTCTCATGAGTAAACAAACATTCAAGTAATGACAAGGAACAGATAATTTAGCATTCAAAAGTGCTTTAGGAAAGAAAAACTGTTTGGTAATAACATGCAGGGGAGAAAGGCAAAACCTGTAGAATGATAACAGAAGTATCTACAGAACATCTAATCTGTTTGTGTCAAAGTTCAAAGTTTTTGAACGTGTCAAAGTTAAAAAAGAATACTTTAAATTTCAGCATATTAAACTTAAAGGGAATTAAAAAGCCAGCCAGGGAGTGCGGAGCCTTCACTAAAATACTTCAGTAAGATACTATAGTAACATACTGTATTAAGTGTCATGGTGATTGTACTAATACAAAAAAAGTTGTCTGGGTGTTTTTAAAGACAGAAATGGCAACTAGATGCTTAACTCTCACTGGCTTTACATATAAAAGTGGTAATATAATACTCATGCCTAACCATGAAAAAGACCTCCACAAACATGCTCTAGCACAAGGCAGGTTCTTGTTCTCTCTCTGGACCAACTTGTGGAACAGAGATGCTTGTAGCCAAGCATACCTACAGGCATCTGCTCTTAAATGGCTGCCACCAGTCTTGCTACCAGCATCAGCTGTCCACACATACAGTCAGACAACACGCATATCCTCGTGAATCAATTCCAAAGCTTCTGACATGTTTACTGAGGAAAATTAAGCAGAACGGAGGGCTGCTAGTCTGCAATAGAGGGTTGTAGCTGTAGACAGGCAAACCCTTCACCCAAATTAATCCCTGCATTGTATCTTAGTCTTATGGAACACAGTACCAAAGGTAACTGGTATTTTCTGTGGCCATTTTGGTCTCAATCCCTCTGAAACCAAGTTGTAGAAAGCAGCATCCTCAGGGAATAGACACTGTCTCAGCCTGACAGTATTGAAGGGAGTCACTTACAGAGCGACACTGTCCACTAAACTAATGCAGTAAGCTAGGCTAGTCCAAAAGAAGGTTCGATGGCTTACTGAAATGGGTTTACTGAGCAACCCCCTCTAGCAATGCCCTGGAAGATACCAGGAGGGGTAAGTAAGCTGTCAGTCTGTAGTTTCTTCTCTTATGAAGTCACAGTCTACTTGGGAAAATATGAAGATTTAATTTTTTTTAAATCGGCTAAAATGCGATATCTTTCATATGTCAGGTATGCAGGTTGTAGCCATATTGGTCTAGAGGAAAAGGCAATCAGGACTCACGGTAGAGATTGTCACAACCCAGTGATTTTTGGAGCCTCGGCACAATGGGATTTTCTTGCCACATGAGAGCCTCTTGCACAGCGAGGGTTTTGCTCAACAAAAAACCCTCGGTGCAAGAGAGTTCCCGCCAATTTGCAGCCTTCTTTGCAGGGTGCTTTTCTTCTTTGCAGCACAGAAATGCACGGTGCAAAGAGTTCTCGCTATTCGAATGCAAATTTGTGTCCCGCTATTGACCAGTGCTAAATTATTCACACGTGGCGGCTAGTAATTGGCTCGCTGGCCGTTTAAAATTCCACGCGACTTCCGCCCCAGTCGAAGAACTCTGAGCACGCTGCAGAGTGCCTCTAAAGAGATCTGACTTGCGGCTAGCTGATCGATAGACTGATCAACTATCGACCTTTCTTCCCGTCGCCGCGCGCAATCCCAGACGTCCCCTTTTCCTGCCGGCTTGAATTGCGGACGGATTGACTGGCTTGGGCCCCGCCAGCTGGAACAACTCGTGTGGTTGTTCAGACGACCGGACCACCTGCGTCGTGATTGCAAGCGGCGTGAGTAAAGTTTTTTGCAACCGATAAGTTGTGTCTGCCTCTCCATTCACCAGCCCGCCCTAACGTACGAGCAATTTCTAACTTAACTCGAGTTGGCTCTGGCCGTCCGAGACAGAGATAATATCTTATTAGACCAACAAGATTTTTGTAAAAAAAAAAAAAAAAATTCCCAATAATATTCCCAATATTTTCCCAATCTGGAAGCAACTGTGGCAACCTGAAACTTGAGATCCTGCTCCTGCCTTTATTTCAAGGTAATCTGTATCACCACAGATCCTCACAGGAGATGAGAGGCTCCATACCAGCTATGAACTGACTGCCTAGAGGAGTTTTCCATCTATTGACTCCTTTGTGAAATTCTATGAAATATGAACTTTCATTTCTACCCAGGAGAACTTTTACAGACTTTTCTCCAAAGCTTAACGAAGGGTGTTTGTGCCCAAAAGCTTGCAATTAAAGAATTTTTGCAAAAATCTGAAATCTTTAAGTGCATCATCTCTAGCAAAAGAGCTGGCCACTGTCTAGATGAAGACCTATGCAAGCATTTAAAATGTAGTCAGTCAAGGAGTTAGACAATTAAAGCTGCTGGATTTTGAAAGACCCCACCATGCCTGGAATGTTTAACAGTCTAATTCCATTCCACTACCAAAACACTGATTCACAGTTCAAACTAAATCGTTACAAGACCCACTTGCATAATTCTTGACACCTTTATATAAACTCTCCCCTTCCATCCCCTCATTAATCCGACTCCATTCCTGTATACAAAAAAACTAACAGCCAAAATAAACACTAAAATCCTGTAACTCTCCGGTACCCGTGACATATATTTCCGGATTCTAAACTGTATTAAGACTGCATTGAAATAATATACTCAATTGCTCTTCCATGTAAACAATTTCTGTAGTCATGTGACCATAAGGAAGTTACGTGACCATAAACTTGGGGGAGGCAGGGTGGGAGCAGCAGTCTGCACAATTACAAATTGAAGGGCAAGTGATCCATGAGACAATATCTGAATTATATGGTATGCAATACAAAAAACTGAATGCCTCAGCTCGGGTTTTAATGCACACACGCTTACAAACAGATTTCTTTATACTCTTCTGCACATGACAGATTTTTATAAATGAATATATAGAATCCACAGATTATTTCTTACCACAAGAGGTGTAGAATAAATCAAACCAAGCCTGAATGTTTTGACAGTGTGCAAAGTTAAGGAAGGAAGCCCCTTAGTTTCGAATAAGCAGCTTGCCAAAACTTCTTAAGCTTGGCAAACACACCCAAACAGGTTTTTCCATAACTGGCCTTCTCCATGGTCTGAATGCATAACATTTTCAAGATCATGTCATTTCTAAAGTAGCCTGAGGGGCTGATCCAAAAGCAGGAACTGCTGCTTTCCCTGTGGGTGGAGCACATATTCTATGAAGCGTTCCTAGCCCCTGCTGGCTCAGCAATGAAGAATCAAAAGGCACAGTCCCTCTGAAACTACTCCTAAACTAAGAGCATAAAAATGCAGTGTTAACACAACTTAAAAGACACAGAATCAGAGATAAACATAATCAGGAAAAAACAAATAAATATTAAGGTACTTACAGTAACTTTATCCAGTGCTTTACAAAAATCTAGTATTCCATTTTATATAGTTTCTATAGTTAAAATGTTTAATATTTCATTGAACAAGAATCAAGAGCTGTGGGTGCAGCAGCCTAAGTTAATATTACAATAAGAGTCTTTGTTCTTTTATTCTCTGCCAATTAAAAAAACCCAAAACAATAGATATTTCTTGTCAACAGAAAAGGAGGAAAAACCTGCTTCATGTTTAGTAATGTTATTGCTTAACTGGCCCTAAACAGGTCTGAAGGTCTCATGCCTGTGAAGCCAATGTGGGGAGTGGTGAAGTCACAGTTCTGGTAGTACTGGGCCAGAGATAGTACTTTTATAAAGTTATCCTGAGGCAACAACACCATAACTGTTTATATTCTTGGATATATAAAAGATTGTAATTTAGTGTAAAAGAATTTCCAGAATATTTTTCACTAACAAATCTATAAATCCATAGGATCTAAAATTCACTCCCTTCTTTCCCTCTCCCCACCCCGCCATCCCCCCAATATGCAAAAAAGTTAAAATGTATGTTATTTGAACCTAAGCTTTAAATAAAATGCTCAAAGGAAAATATATTTGTATCAAAAGTATGTATGCATGCAAATTATTGACACTGAATATTAGTTTAATCTATTCTAAGATGGCTTTACAGAACACTTCTGGAATCTGCCAAATTGATAGGAATTTTCAATTATTAGTATTTAGTAAAGATGTCTCCAAACATTAACTGCATTTACAACAGGGGAAACAGCTATCCCTATTTTACAGCTGGGTATATGTAGGTCAGAAGTAACTTAATTCAGAATTATGACCCAAAATCATCATCCCTGGCTCCCATTCATGCATTCCACCCACGGGAAATGGCCCAGCTCTCCATCCTGCTTGTAACACATTTTTATCAGTTTGTTCTAGGATCCACATCCAGGACTGGTCCTACACTTAAAATGGCAAAGCAACACAGAGATTCAGAGAGAGGAAGCAAGTTTAAATTACTATATGGCATCAACAACAAAAATCTCATTCACTTCTGTTTTTTATTTGGGCTATTTTCTAATAATTTTACTAGGAGTGATCACTGGAGAAAACACTCCTACACATTGAACACAATCCTGTTAAAAGTGTTTAAATAGCAGCACTGAAATTTCTCACAGAAACAGGTTAGACTAATAACAAAGAATAACTTCTTAAAAAACTTGCCTACTTATGGAAGATAATGTTCCGTATGAGAACTTGTACTAGCTATGCCATATTAACTCCCCATATGGAAACCTAGGTGCGCTACAGGTGCATAATGTAGCTTGGCTCTTACTTTCAAAGTGAGGTAGGCACCTTACATAGCAAATTTTAGTTTGGGATGGCTACT